AGTGTGGGAGTATGTAAAGGTACTTTTTAGACATTTATTAACTAATATTTTTTTTTTGAAATTTTTAAATACATCTCAATGGTGCCATAAACTGAGTGATCGAAATAGGGTACATACATTTTGAACATAAAAGTCAGAATTTCTTTTACAAATTCTTATCACAACTTTAAGCCAAACGCTGTACCCTACAGTGACTTGTAGTATATAGTTTTTCGCCAATTACTTACGCATTTTCACTATACTAATTATTTTTATTATTATTTATTATTGATCCAAATAAATTCGTACAGCACTTACAAAAAATTATAGAATTTTACTTTAAATCTGAATTGATAATAATATATTTGTTTTGTCAGAGAATTTTAAAGTGAACTTATAGGAGATAACTAACATTTACAATATTTCTCCTGTAGTGGAGGGGTTAGAACATTCCCTTTGTAAGACATATCGTTAGACGTAAATCCCGGCACCATTCCGACCTTTTGGAGGGTTAATGGTAATGAGTGTAAGCATATGTACATATGAGTGTATATCTAGTACCACGAGGGTCCCGCAACCCGCAGCTTCGGCTGTCCTGACCAATTGAGGTTGGCAGTGTTGTGATGCCTATGGTTAATTCCAAACTTACGCGGGAAGTGTGATTGTATTTTACTTCGTTCGAAGTAGAACTGCGTATACACACCAGGAGCCGTGACTCAAAGATGAGCAGAGGTATTAGTAATCATCGCTCCTTACCAATGCGTAAGTTATATTAACTACATAACTTCTTTTGGTTCCAGCGGAAATTTCTTAGAATTTTCAATAAAGCGTTTATCGGCACACTATCTTGATACGTTTATCTATCCCATATTTGTATAACATTCCAGGGTCTCATTATACTTTAATAGTAATCAGATATATGTATAAACACATATATAATTCTTTGATTAATTAAAAAAATTGTTGAGATTCAATAATTGGTTTATCTTTGTCGTTTTTTTCCTTTAGAGCTTGCACATTATATTTATATTCTTGAAGTTTACATGAAAAAATTTATTCGAGAATTTATTTCATTTTGAATGAGAAACATTGGAGAATTTATATTATTAATTCTTATTATTTATTATAAATCATATCTTATCTTATTATAAATCATATCATATCTTATGAATCTTATTAATTTACTGACTTTTTTAAAATTTATTAATTCAGTCCGTCATTCCCAAATTGACCACTTGTATGACCAATATAGACGCTGAATAAGATTCTTCAATGTAGTTCAAGTACTTACCCATATATAAGACAACCAAACTCAATTTTTTTTTTTGTATTATAGGTGGAAAGCATCATAAGTCAAAGTGTAAGACTTGAACCGACTAAAACTATTTCTCACGAATAAATTTAGAAGACTCCAGCTACAGAGTGAATAAGACTTATGTCTGAATTTACATGCCAGCAATCTTGAATAAATAGTGATTATTTTAATATTGTATTTAGAAAGAAATACAATATATTAATATTGTAGGTAGAAAGATCAACAGCCACAGTGTGAGACTTGAACCCACTAAAACTATCTCTTAGGAATGATTTGGGAAGACCACTGCTATCACACTTTACAAAACTTCTGACTGAATTCTCATTCCAGAAATTTTGGACAAATAGTGAACATTTTAAAATATTATAGGTAGATAGATCAACAGCCACAGTGTGAGACTTGAACCCACTAAAACTTTTTCTTAGGAATGATTTGGGAAGACCACTGCTATCATACTTTACAAGACTTCAGACTGAAACCACATTCTAGTAATCTTGAAAAAATAGTGAACATTTTATTACATTGGGTTCTTGATTAGGTCATAATAATACTAAAAACAAAAAAAGGTATATGAACTTGCTTATAATTGTGTTTCTAATAATACTAAAAAATATTTTATGCATCCTATAGAGTCCTGTAGTATATGTTATGATTCATAATAGGTTATAAGTTATGAACTATAAAAAATTTTAGAATCCAAGTCATATCAAAGCTTTATGTGCAAGTAAAACCAATTTTAATAAACAAAAAGTCAGTCATAACTAAAAATTTAGAGCTAAAGCTGAGAGTAATAAGATTAACCCGAATTAAAATGAAAGCATTCCCCCTTTTCGGAATGAAAATAGCATAAAACACAAATACGTGTATGTCGTTATGCTAAGTACATATCAAAACCAAATATCTGTTGACATCTCCTATTCACCATATTTGTTTTATAGACTTATATGTATATATAGAGAAGTCGGTACATACATACATAAACGTGCATATACTCGTGTATACTTGTTATACTGAAAATATGCGCTTGATTAGCATAAACGCATTAAAAATATGAAAATTTGCATATATTACTGTTTGTTTTGACAACGTCGATGACACTTTTGGTCTTTCCCCCAAATACTCGTATATGCCGGGACCAATGTGGTTTGTATATAAAAATAGCTAATTTCATGAGTTAGTTGAATTACTAATATAACATAAAAGATGTTCTGCATGTGTTTGATGTTCGTTGTGTCCTTTGTAGGGCATGGTATGTAGCACATGTCGTAAAATGTAAAAATTTGACACTCTATGCACAAGTGGCCCATTTTGCCTGTTTTGGTTGACATTCAATTTTGTAATTTTACTTTTATGGGTTTATGGAAAGGCAAACAACCACCAACATAAGAGTATGGGGCATAGGCTTTTTTTATGTCACTCTCAGACATAACTTTTAATGTTGTTTTAAGCGAGTACTGTTACTTTACTATACCATATGAAATAATTCCAAAAAAGTGAAGGAACAGCGCATTTTGTAGCTCTTATAATATTATGTTTACAAGTTTAGATATAAGTTTAGCAATAAACATTTTTTTAAAATTCAATTTAAATTCAATGCTTTCACATTTTATACACTCGTATCATAAATTGAATTTGCATCACAGGCTCGGGTCTTAGGCTCTTATTTTATCATAATGAATTAAATTATCATGAGTAAATCGTTAAAAATTCTCAAATAAGTTAAATACAATAAAAAATGTTCATAAAATATTTTTCATTATCACTTAGATTGTACGTATATGGAAGTTATTAAAATGCAAAATGGCATTTGACACCATTATACTGAGTAAACTTCCTTGCATACGAGTATCTGATTATAAGAGTATGTGTTCACACATTTAAATACGGTCGTATCTTAATAGCATATGTAAGTATGCCAGAACACCTAACTTTTGTTAGGTCTTATATGAAAAATGCAAATTTCTATTGATTTTTACTTAATCGCTTCTAAGTGCGTAACGCCGACAGCATAACTTCATTACCTGGAATATGTAATGTCCTTGCAATGCATTGATGTCTATGATCCTTATCAATATGAATCAGATATATTACATTTGCAAGCATATGAGTAAACACAATATTCGTATTTCTTAAAGTTTTGAACAAACGATTTATATTTATATTGATGACAAAAATAATGAATAATAAAAAATATTTATAAATTAATACGGAATAGTGTTGAACAGATTTCTTCATAAAGGATAAAGCCTTGAAATTATTTGCGAAATCTGACAGACTTACCAACACCGCGTTATCAAATCTCAAAATGGTTACAGACACCCCGCGGAGGTATGCAGATCTGAGGTCAATTATTGCTTAGTCTGATGAAGTCATAAACAATAAACTAGTCAAGGCGCAAAGAGGGGTTTTGAAGAAACCTCGCAGTTAATAGAGAGTAAAAGTGCTCAAGTGCACTGACTCAATTATAGTAGATAGATTTCTTCATGCACGAATAATACAATAAAAGTTCTCTTAAGTGGTTACCAGCGAGACTACTATTTCGTTCCCTTCGCTCTTCTAAAAAAAAATTTGTTTGTTTTAATGGCGGCAGAGATTGTTCTACCCACACTTTTAAATGTTAGATTATAATTTTAAAGCCAACCCGTTGATAAAGAATATTCATATTTGGATGCAAGTAAGTATAAATCTAGTATCGTTAAGCTTGTAAAAATATGAGTTTTATATACTTTAAGTTTTATAACTAACCTAAAGATAAAGAAGATCTATTAATTTGGAAGATCTATATTTGGCTGAGTTCTGCAAAAATAGATCGACTTGAGTGAAAGCTATGTTAGGTCCGCTTAGTCAATGGTACGTGAAGAAAGAAGTGAAGTTTCCAAGTCGTTTGTTTGAGTTTAGAGATTTGCGTCCAATGAAAGTAAAGACGTAGCGTTTTAGGGTGTAACTACAAACATATTATTTATAATTTTATATTAGATGTTATGCATATAGGTGTTTAATATACGCTTCTTAAAGTTCATATGCCATTAGATTTTGAAATGGACTTCAGAAAATGTTAACATTATTTTTTTGTTTTTTATTTTTAATTTGTTACGTCGAAATATTTAAAAGTCGGTTTTTTTAAAAATTTTAGCTTTTATTTGGAACGTTTTTTTCGGTATATTTCTATACGTATTTCGGTAAATTCGCTTTTGCCTTCATCTGGAGAATTCCTAATAATTAAAACATCTATGAAATTTACAAATTATTTATACTTATTACTGGTCTTATATTTAATTTTAATAAATCATCTATACAGATTATATCCATTTAAGAAGTGCAAATCCTTTTGATACCCAGCGATTGATTCTAGAATAAACAGTCTTCAATATAAGAAAATATAAATCTTTCTGCTGTACATTTATTCCGACAACATTTTTATCTCTGTTTTTGTTGTAAAATTTTTTAAGATACCTAATAATAGCTTTTTATTTATACACTTTGATTATTAATGCTTGTCATTAATAAGTCAGATTACTACTATATTCAAGTTCAACCCGAACAGAGATTTACAAACATTTATTAGTAACGCTTTAAAAATTATAAATGAGAAATTAGTTATTAATTAAGATTAATTAATTCACAAAGTAAAATAATAACTAAATGGTAAAAATTACATATGTCTATAAAATTTATATAGTTTTAAAAAATATATAACTTATCTTCGATTTTTAACTTTCATCGTTGTAGAGTACTCCTGCACTATCCTCCGCAATCCTTATGAAAAACATTGAATTCGAATTAATTGATATTTGGAAATCTTCTATTCTTAAATGAAAATGATTTCTTCGAATTTTGGAAAATATTTCTGATAATGTCACATTTGGAGTGAAAGGAATAGCATATACTATAACATTGCCCCAAATACCTCTAGAAGATATAGTAGTCATCAGTTACTTTAAGCAAATATGAGAAATATCAAATATTACTTACTTTACAAATGAATTAGGATATTCCTGGTCCATAAATGACTCCACATAGAAGAACTGGTTGCGATTAACTCTAAGTCTAATTGTTGAAATGCGAGCTAAATGTGAGCTCCTTATCTTAATCTTTAGTATAAATACATCGTTATCAGTTGCATTTAATGATGAAAGTGTGCCAAGAGCACGGAAACGTCCTCTGTGAAGTATGGCAATTTTGTTTGCTATTAATTCACATTCGTTTCCCCTGATGCTACAAAACACAATGGCTCTACCCATTTCTTGTAAATGGCAAATTATATTATATACAATGCGACGGTTGGCACCATCAAGTCCTTGAGTCGGGTTATCTAATAACAATATTTTAGTTTTACCCATCAATGCAACTGCGAAATTCAGTCTTATTTTAAATCCATTTGAGTAACATTTAACCGGTGCATATAAGTAATGATGAAACCCTAAAATCTTAGCTACAATATTTATCATATCAGGTATTTTGTTGCGAGGAACTCCACGAAGTAATGACATCATTTTTAGGATCTGCCATCCAGTGTACTCATCCATACATAAATTGACATCTGCCATGTAGCCAATCATTTTATATACATCACTTTGATGATCTTTGAGTTCTAATCCTTCATATCTGATATGTCCTTCAGTTAATTCTACTTTTCCAGCTAGCAACTTAAGCAATGTTGATTTACCAGAACCAATCATTCCCAGTATACCAAGGCATTCATAACTAATCAAGTTTTTAACATTTGATAATCATAAATAAAGAATTTCGAATTCTCAGTAAATACATTACCTCTGAAGTGCAAATGTTAGGTTCTTTATTACAGTCATATGGTCCTTGGAATATGTTAAGTGTGCACAAACAAGTGGAGTACGAAACTGATCACCCGTTGTCATTTTTTCAACACGTGCGATTTCGTTTATTATATTTTTCTCAACTGGAAGAGTATCTATGCTTTTGTGGTGAGTTTCAAATTCTGTTCTTGCAAGCTTGCTATATAAATAATAACAATTTCACATAAAAATCGTTTGTAATATGAAAAATGGAATAATTTCAATTGTAGACTTACGAATTAAGTTTCGTTAATGTTTGGCAATTCATGCCACCACGATAGTACAGCATATATATTAAGGCCCAAGATATAATTCCTAAAACTGTCAGGCAAAAAACTTCACTCAAAATACCTTCTTGCCATTGTAACATACCAAATTCACCTAATAAAATAATAACATTTATTTATTGTTCTTTAACAACTTTTATACTTAATTGCCTTACTACAACAATTTGGAACAAATCGGCATTGCTCCACATATCTTGATATAGTATTTATAGTTTTATCATTACACATAGCCTGTAAATTTTCATTTCTGAAAGCTTTTTCTAGGCCTCTGGCCATTAGAAAAAGCGGTAATCCACGAAGCAGCATTCTAAAGTTTCTATATAGATCGCCATCTGATATGAATGCAAATCCGTTGTAAAGAACTTCACAAATTATACAGTAGCATACAACGTTAAATAGAAGAAAGATAACGGATACTGCGTAAGTGGTGTTAAAGTCTTTGAAAAAGATCGACACCAAATATGTCAGAGATATAGTAGAAATTCCGGCTATAACCAAAATGATTAGAAACCAAACTGTAAAATTAAAGACATATTCAATTTGTGAATGTGTGATGGATACAAGAGAATTAATGAGGATAAATATTGAGAATATTGTTACATTTCTGATATTTATTTTATATGTTGTGATTTTGATACACTTACTTGCTACTTTCATTTCCTCAACATACGATGCCACGGAATAAAAATTAATAGTTACTATTATAACTGATTCAAAAATGACAAAGACTATATTTGTCAGATATGACGACATCCAGTAAGACACTTCACTTAAACCTGCTATAGACTGAAGTATCTTAAAGCCTGAACTGCGTTCCTTCGTAAAAAATATACATCGAAAAGGCCAAATAATTGAAAAACAAAGAGCAATATAGCGTGGCAAAAAAAAGCCAATGGAGTTTTGGTTCCCAAAAGTATCCAATGTTGCTGAGAAATCGGTACTAAATGGCAGAGGATCCAGGGTAACAGTGACTTTTGCGTTAAGATCATTGTATCTACAAATGTAATATTCTATGAATTATTAAATAATTTTGTAATTAAATAACACTTAAAAACTGATAAAATGTTGAAAAAAATTAAGATTTTCATTCATTAAACTAAAATACAAACTGAAATTTTTTTCACTTACTGTGCCAAGGCATTATGAATAGTGTTCAGGCTTAAAGGCGCAGTATGAAGTGGATAGTTGTTAAACCAGGCTGTAATATGTTTGTCTTCAAATGAGGCTCCAATTAAGTAATCATGATTAACGAAGTCTTGTTTTTCTGACTGTTTTTTAATAAAAAAACTTTCAGCGTTTTCATTTACTATACTCCTGGCTATATGCTCATAGCGCTTCCAGAACAGATTTTGTCGATATAGATCAACTGGATCCAATTCTTGCTCTTGGAGATCTGCGGATACACTTATTATTGTTATAGAGTGTTGATATTGATCTAAGTCGAATGTTATTGGCCTTAGTTCTTGGCGTTCAATATCAAGATTTGTTAAAGCTAAAGAAATAAGTGGAAACACAATTGGTGCCACCAATTGTATTATTGTAAGAGCGATGTGATAATATTGGAAAGCAACTCGTTTAATGACAAGTGCATAGAAGTGACTAAACCAAAGCTGAAAGCCCGTTAGAGGTTCATAATTATAAATTTCGTCAAATTGCTGATGTTCATCTTCATTGAAAGATATGCCACTCATTATTTGCGAATGTCTTCTTTGATCACCATAGCTGGGATATTCGGTGCCCCGTTGCATGAACACATCATATAGGGAGCTTTCACAAATTGAAAATGTTATTATACTTAAACTTTGTTGTTGTTCATATATTTCTTTTAATATTTTATTAAAATCTTGTATATATTTCTCTTCCAGTGCATATGAAATTTCATTCCCTAACACATATTCTGGTTGTATGTTTGGTATAAACTTCCTTATTATTTCAGTAACTTTTTCAATATCACAATACATATCCTTGATTAAAAACTATATTACGGAAAAGAAACGTTATAACAAAGTTAAAAAACTAAAGCTGATTAAAATAAATTTACCAAACGATAACCAGTGGAATAGAGATTTTTCAAAAAATAGCTAGAGCCATAGCATTGTAATTCTCCTCCTGATAATATCCCTATGCGATCACCTAATGCATCCGCTTCTTCACAAGACTGTGTTGTTAAAAATATGGTTCTATCAGTTTTTTCATTCAGTAATAATTTCCAAAGAAGTTTTCGAGCTTCCATGTCTAAGCCCATACTGGGCTCATTGAGCACGACTATTTTACTTCCTCCAATCAGTGCAGAGCTAACTTTAAGATATTGTTTCATTCCAGTTGAAAGGTCCTGAGTAACAGTATCACCCTTTTCTTCTAAATTCATTGCTCTTACATACTTCTCTACTTCGCTATGATTCTGCGTATCATTTATGCCTTTAAGTGCACAAAAAAATGAAAGCTGCTCTCTAACCGTAAGATTATTAATAAGAGTTGAGTTTCCAACACTAATCCCAACACTACATAAGGCATGGCCGGGATTATCATTTATATCGTATCCATTGATGACGATAGTACCTCTAGTAGGACGAATGAGTCCTACAATCATTGAAAGGAGAGTCGTTTTACCGCTGTTGTTATGACCCATAAGAACCGTTATATCGCCTTGGCAAATGTTCATTGTCACATTACTTATCGCACGAATATTGTTGACAATTTTCGTTATTTTACGTATTTCTATTACGATTCTTTTGTACTGAAGGTCTATTTCTACTATTTCCGTATTTCGCGGATGTGAAAAAATTTTGTTGTCATCTACCTGAGAGGCTCTATATTTTCTGTGTGTAGCAGAAATAATTCTTTTGATTTTTCCATATAAGTTCACCTTGTCCATAAATAATGCGATTATTAAATAAACTATGCTTTGACCAAACATTATTAAAATAATGTTTCCATATATGATATCTGACTTGATTTCTGTATGTTTAAACATATTATCCCATTGAAAGCCTCTACCAAATTCTTCAAGTGCAAGAAGATTGTCCAATGCGGCAGCCATCGCTGTGTTTGAGAAGAGATACATACAAATGAAGGTTTCACTCTTCATACCATTTGCATCACGTTGGTTATATGGTAGATATGTTAAAATCCATGCTGTAGCCAATAAAAAATTGGCACTTTTAGTATGACTCGTAATTGACATAATCAATATATAAAACGACAAAGAAGCGAGACTATAAGCTAGCATTAGAAATATCAGAGCACTCCAAGAACTTTTGGTACAAATACCGTAACCATCATTCCAATGAATCTGAGAATTTTACTCAGTTTTAACATCACAAAACACAACAAATTTTTTTAGATATACAAACCTTTAAAACCAATGTCAAGAAAAACGATGCAAGGACCGTATTAAGAAATCCATTAAAATAGTATGATAAAGTCTGAATCCAAAATGGAATTCCCATTATTTTTAAAACAGATCGCAAACCACTTTTGTCATCCACTATTATATTCTGAAGAAAATGTGATCCAATAAATAACTTAAAAAACATATACACAAAATAAATTATTTCTTCACCTTGGAAAAATTCATTACAGGATATATGAATCCCATTATAATAGCTAATGGCAAGCTTACTCTTATATTAGTTAACAATCCATCAAAATCATGTTTACAATAAGGAAATTGGCGTAGACTTACAACCCAGGTATATTGTTTTTTAGAAGTTAGTGCCAAATAAGATTCTGTGACGGCTTGTTGAAGAGAAATAAAACCTTCGCGTACATACATTACAAAACTTTCGTCAGGATCATTTGTGTATTGATTTCGAATATCGTATAAATTATTTGTGTTCCAATTGGTTCCAATATACGACTTATGATACTGACGTAATTCACTGGGAAACACAAGAGAATAGTTAAGATGTTTAGGAAACATATGTAAAGAAGTGTTTGATTTTTTTAATTTTTCTTCATTGAAACACACTCCAGCTAAATAAAAATTAATCTGCATGCTCTCCCGTAACTGTTTACATGTCTCAAAACCTATAACATCAATGGAATTTAATTTTTTGGCTGCTTTCTCCATGATCCGTACGTAGCCTGGTTGAGTGTTTGGTGCAAAGCATAGAATCAATTGTGGAACATAGACATTATAGGGGAAACTGTAGAGAAATCACAGTAATTAGGAACAGTAGTATTAAATGAGTAATATCTCAGACTTTTAACTTACTTTCTGATACTTTCTTCAATTGTCATAACTTTATTTGCCAACAACTCAATAGTCAAATGATCTTTTCTCTCCTCGTACTCTTGCAGAACAGATACCCATTCATTTTCAAAGCTTATAGGATCATACCTAACTTCATAACGCTCTTCTACATTGATAAAGAAACGCAATAGAACAAAGAACGTTATGAAAATTGTTGGTAAGAAAACAACAAAGACTCTGAAACAAAATTGACGAAATTCTCTGTACGAAACTTTCCAAAAATGTAACGAAAACTTTTGAAAGTTTGTTATTTCATGTTTATCTTCCTCTTCAAATGGCGGTATCCTGACTATAGAAGAAAAACTCCCATCAAATGTGTTGAAACTATCAAAACTTCCCATAATGCAAGCTTTTAAAAAAATTCTACGTTAATTTTAAAACTAATACAGAAGTAAATAAAATTTTGATAACAATAAAATGATCGATAGACTTGATTGCAGTATTTTTAATTTATCGTCTTTTTTTTTATTGAATTAAAATATATCTACTACTAATAGTTGTATTAAAGAAATGTATGTGGTATTGCAGTTGACTTATCTAAGTCTATTGCAAGCCTAAAAAAATTGCCGACACCTTAAGGGCTATTTTCGACGTTTGAGAAAAAAATTTAAGCCTATTAGTGTCAATGAATTGATTACTCTTGATGGAATTGATAGTGTTATTGACAGTTTACCAACAATACGACAAGCAAAAACTAAAAAAGAGCCCTTAAGACTTTAACTAGTAACTCAACTTCAATTATTAAGTGCCAGAATGGGTCTCAAGACTTGAAAGTAATGTCGTAGCTATTTACATAGCCAAGAGACCGACAAATATGCTTTTAATTGGTCCTAAGCTATTCTCTGAACTCACCAAAAAGCCTTTTTAATGATATAATCAGGAAATAGAAGGAAAAGACAATTTCACTGGCTTAAATGCCATTCAAAACGATTTCTTATCTCAGCTAAGGAAATATCAAATAAAATATATATTCTCTAGATAGAAGAGACCTAAGGACTCTTTCTGTTTACTTAACAAATCACCTCGACTTGCTTTATTACTTATAGTGAAATGGACATCATAAGATCCAAAGGAACGACAAGTCCCAAACTGTCGTACAATTTATTAAGATACTTATGTTTATAGCGTTAAGGATAAAAGCTAAACACTATATCTCTACAACTATGTAGAAGGCCTGTGAGTTCTGGCCTCTAAGGACCATGTTATGTAGAGTGTCACGGGTACGTTATGAGCAAAATGCTTGTTTTCGATGCAAATTCTAAAATTTCGTCATGTGAGCCTGGGCTACCTGTACCCCGTCACAAAACAGTACTGCTCAGTAACAAATGTCAGAATTGGCAACTTTTAGGAGTAATGTACTACAATATCAATACGTTTTGGAGAATAAATGCCAGGAAGCAACACAGCCTATTTCAAAAGCCGCTAATAATCTAATTCTTACACTTTCCGATTTGAAGGAAAGGCTTATAATTTTGTAAGTTAATAATTATCATAAGAAAATATAATATTAAATTAACATTTTCACAGCCTCTATAAGTTTTTTCTTGCTGGTTATTTTTGGTGACAAATTGAAAGTGAGCAAATCTACATTTCCTTTTAAATTTAGGCACTACCAAAAAGTATCAAAACATTGTAAAAATATGAAATTGGCAATACTGATGTGACAGTCTGCATAACATGCATTTTCATCATACCCGGATGATGAAGTCAATTTTGCTGTACCCGTGATACTCTACATAACATGGGCCTAATAATATCAATAATAGATTAAGAATCACGTTCTTGTTGAATCACATTTCTCGTATATGTTTTCATTGAATTTTAACTTTAGAATTGATCGAAGCTTTCTTAAGTTCTGTATTGTTAAGTATAGTAAACTCTATTATTTAAACAAAAAAACAATCAGTTGGTAACTCTACCATGACATGAATTAAATTGAAAGGTATTATAATGTAAGAATAATTAAAGATTCAAAATAAATAGTTGTTATAATAATAATTCGTTTGATTTTATTTATTGTCCCGATATTCAAATAATAATTTGGTCACGGTGTCCAGCCTTTCTGTGCCTCATCACGTTGGTCAAAGCATTGTAGTCCACTAATAAATGTCAAGATTTGTGCCTTTGTGAACCCTAAATATTAAACAGTTTAATGTATAGGAAAAGTTTTACTTCTTCTCATCAATGAATTAGTTTATTAATAATTGTTAATAATATTATTGATGATATTTTGGTAAAAATATGTTTTTTATTTTCACTAGTTTTTAGAATAATATAGGAACTATTTAATAAGTCGGTTATAACAACAGTAAATAATATATAGGCTATTCATTTAAGTTTTTGGACATATCTTGTGCATATCCTCTCACTTTTTTACTTATATATAAATAATTTTTTAAAATAAGATAAGAAAATATCTTGGGTGTATATGCATATGATATAGAGTATTATACTAGCTTACCTGGAATTATTTTTTGTATTTATCAACGGCACTCACAGTTTTATATTTAACTTCTGTAGAAGTTAAAAATAAAATGCCTATTAACAATTCCTTCATATATTAACAACTTCTTTATTATTGATTAATTATTAATTATTAATTATTTATTGTATTTGTTAAGATTACATATTTAAATTAAAAAAAAAAATTCAGAGTAAAATGTAAAAGTAAATATTTTTGAACATTATTTTTATAATATATACATCATCTTTCAAAATTTGTGATAAACATTGCAATTGAATTACTTGATATCTGGAAGTCTTCGATAGATAATTGGGAGCTATATCTGCGCATTGTAGTAAATATTTTTGACAATGTTACATTTTCGGAAATTGGAATGGCATATATTATAACATTTCCCCAAATACCTCTAAATAAAGTTGCACCGTTAGTTAAATTAAATAAATAAAAATATTACTAAAACTTACCTTATTTTTGCATCCTGATACGTTAACTCCATAAATGATTGCACTTGGAAAAACTGGTTACGATTACTCATAAGTCTTTGGCGGTTAAATTCTTGTAGATTCTTTACCTTAACCCGAAGTATATAAACGTCGTTTTCAATTTCAATTATTGATGAAAGTGAACCAAGAGCTCGAAAACGTCCTCTGTAAAGTATGGCAACTCTATTACATAATAATTCGCAATCGCTTCCCATGTCAGAACTGAATACAATAGCTACTCCAGTTTGTTGTAACTTGTAGATTAAATTATAGACTATGCGACGGTTGGCAGTATCAAGTCCTTGAGTTGGGTTATCTAATAACAATATTTTAGTTCTACCCATTAAAGCGACTGCGACACCAATTCGTTTTCTTAGTCCTACTGAATATTTAACTAATGGAAAATGTAGGCAATGCTGGAAGCACATAATTTTAGCTACAGTATTTATCGTTTTAGATATTTTGTTGCGAGGAACTCCACGCAATAATAACATTATTTTTAGAATTTGCCATCCAGTATATTCATCCATAATTAAATTGACGTCTGCCATATAGCCAATCATTTTATATATTTCAGCTTTATGATCTTTGAGTTCTAATCCTTCATATTTGATATGTCCTTCAGTTAGGCTCAGTACACCACTTAGCAACTTGAACATAGTCGATTTACCAGAACCATTCGCTCCCAATACACCAAAGCAGTCATAGCTAATTAGTTTTGTAACAAGAATTAAAAATTTGAACTACTTAATGAATCGGTTACCTGTGAAGTGCGAAACTTAGGCTACTTATTATAGCAACCTCATTTCTAAAAAATGTTAATTGATCACAAACAAGCGGAGTGTAGTGCTGTTCATCTGTGGACATGTTTTGTACATATATACTCTCAGTGAAAACATTTCTCTCAGTTGAATGAGTATCTTCATTTCTGTGATAAGTTTCAAAATCTGTTTTTGCCAGAGACCTATGGAAATAATAACAATTTCGTATAAAAATCGTTTGTAATATTGAGTATGCAGTAATTTTAACTGTTAACTTACAAATTTAGGTTCCTAAATTTTTGATAATGCATGAGATCGCGGTAATATAGTAAATATATTAAGATCCAGGATATAACTGTTAAAAGTGTTAGACAAAAAACTTCTTTTAGAATGCCCCCATCCCATTTCCACATATCAAATTCAACTGAAATAATAATATTTATTTAGTTTATATAGTAATATAAATACTTAATTGTCTTACAACAGCAGTTTGGAACAAATCCGCAATGCTCCACATATTTTGACACAAAATTAATAGTTTTATCGCTACACATAGCCTGTAAATTTCCATTTCTAAAGACTTTTTCTAGGCCTCTGACCATTGAAAAAAGCGGCAGTATACGCAGTATCATTTTGCAGTTTTGATATATATGACTATTGGTTAAGAATCCAAATCGTTGATAAAGAATTTCACAAAATACGCAGTGGCATACAATGTTAAATAAGAGAAAGATAACGATTATTTCATAGGTTGTGTTGAAATCTTTGAAAAAAATTGACACCAGATAAGTTAAAGAAATAATGCATATTCCTGACATGACCAAAACGATTAGAAACCAAACTGTAAGATTAAAGATATATTAAAACTGCGATTATATGATTTATGAAATATATAAAGATTATTATTTTTTTAGAAATACAATATTAAATTATTATTTCATACAATAATAATATATTTAATTGTTATATTTGATTCACATACTTGCCACTGTCGTTTGTCCGCCATACGATGTCATAGAAGCAAAATTTATAGATACTATTATAAGAGACTCAATAACGATAAAAGTCATATTAGTCAGAAATGACGATATCCAGTAGGACACTTCCGTTAAACCTGCTATAGATTGCAACGTCTTAAATCCGGACATACGTTCCTTTGCAAAAAAATGACATTGAAAAGGCCAAAGAATCGAAAAGCAAAGAGCAATATTGCGTGGTAGAAAGAAACCAATGGACTTTTGGTTCCAAAAACTATCCAAAGTTGCAGAAAACTCGGTACTAAACGGTAAGGGATCCAGGGTAACAGTAACTTTTGCATTAAGATCGTTGCATCTACAAATATATAACATTATTAAATATTGTAACAAATTGACATTGAAAATCTACGGATATATAGTAGTTCTTAAACCGGACTTAATTAAATATAAATTTTATCTTAGAAATATAATTTGATTTGTCTACTTACTGAGCCAATGTGTTATGAATAACGTTTAAGCTCAATGGGGCGGTATGAAGCGGGTAATTATTAAACCAGGCTGTAATATATTCCTTCTCAAATGTTGCTCCAATTAAATAATCGTGATTCACATAATCAGTGTTTTGTAATTGTTTCTTTATAAAAAACGATTCAATATTTTCATCTCCTGTATATAATCCTATATGCGGATAATGCTGATAAAATAATTGATGTTCATATACACGTTCTGGTTTATCATCACCTATAAAAACATCACTTCCAACACTTATCATGGCTGTCGAATGATAATATTGACTCAGATCAAATGTCATTGGCGTAAGTTGAGCACGTTTGACATCCACACTTGTTAAAGCTAAAGAAATAATTGGAAACACAATTAGTGCCACCAATTGTAGTATTGTAAGAGCGATGTGATAATATTGGAAAGCAAATCGTTTGATGACAAGTGCATAAAATTGACTTAACCAAAGCTGAAAGCCCGTTAGAGGTTCATAATCATAAATTTCGAGAAATTCCTGATGTTCTTCTTCGTTGACAGATATGCCATTCATTATTTGTGAATGTCTTCTATGATCACCATAGCTAGGATATTCAGAACCTCGTTGCATGAACACATCATATAGGGAGCTTTCACAAATTGAAAAACTTCTTATACTTAATATGTTTTGCTGCCTATATATTTCCTGTAGTAGCCTACTAAAAACTTCTACATATTTATCTTCAAGTCTAAATGAAATTTCATTTCCTAACACATATTCTGCTTGTATATTGGGTATAAATTTCCTAATTGTTTCAGTAACTGTTTTGATATTACAATTAACATCCTTGATTAAAAGCTACATTAAGAAAAAAATATTATAACATACTTAAAGAACAAATCATACTTAAATAAATTTACCAGACGATAACCAGTGCAATAGAGATTTTTCAAAAAGTAACTAGAGCCATAGCATTGTAATTTTCCTCCTGATAATATTCCAAAGCGATCAGCCAATGCATCCGCCTCTTCACACAACTGTGTTATTAAAAATATGGTTCTACCAGTCTTTTCACTTAGTAGTAATTCCCAAAGAAGCTTCCGTGACTCCATGTCTAAACCCATACTTGGCTCATCAAGTACAACTATTTTACTTCCTCCAATCAGTGCAGAGCTAACTTTAAGATATTGTTTCATTCCAGTTGAAAGGTCCTGAGTAACAGTATCACCCTTTTCTTCTAAATTCATTGCTCTTATATACTTTTCTACTTCACTTTGAGTCTGCGTATCATTTATTCCTTTAAGTGCACCAAAAAATGTAAGCTGCTCTCTAACCGTAAGATTCTTAATTAAAGTTGCATCACCAACACTCATTCCAACACTTCTCAAGCCAAGTTCTGGGTTAGTATGAATATCGAAACCGTTAATGACGACAGTTCCACTTGTTGGACGAATAAGTCCTACAATCACTGAAAGAAGTGTTGTTTTGCCAGAACTGTTATGACCCATAATAACCGTTATATCGCCTTCACAAATATTCATTGTTATATTCTTTAGTACGGATACGTTGTCAAGCTCCTTTGTGACATCGTTTAATGCTATAATGACTTTTTTGTAATCAATTTCCACTACTTCTGTTGCTCGTTGTTGCAAACTGAAACGATTGTTATCTGGATCAGCAAAAATAATATTTTCTGTAGGCGCAGTGGAAAATAAGTTTCTGTGTTCACCAAGCAACTTTAGTTTTTCAACACATAGGGCAATTGCCAAATAAACAATGCTTTGACCAAACATTACTAAAATTAGTGATCCGGTTGTAATGTGCAACTTGATTTCTGTATCCGAAAATAAATTATCCCATTGAATGCCTCTACCAAATTCTTCAAAAGAAAGAAGATTGTCTAATGCGGCAGCTATGGCAGTATTTGAAAAGATATATAAAAAATTGAATGACCCATCATACACGATTTTTTCTTTTGGTTGAATATATGGTAAATAAGTTAAAACCCATATTATCGCCAACAGGGTACTTGCACATTTAGTGTGGCTCGAAAAAGACATTATCAAAATACAAAATGACAAAGAAGCGAGATTAAAAACTAACATCAGTAACATCAGTGCACTCCATGAACTTTTGCTAAAAATACCGTAACCTTCACTCCAATGAATCTGAAATATATATCAGTTTAAAATTACGTATATTCTTTGTACAATATTTTTTTATAAGGACCTTCATTGCTATAGTCAAGAAGAACGAGGCAATTATCATATTAAGAAACCCATTAAAATGAATTGCTAAAACTTGTATCCAATAAGGAATTCCCAATATTTTTATAACTGTTTGAAAACCACTTTCCATGTCTTCTCTTATTTTCTGGAAAATTGAATTTCATCAAATATATTAAAAATATAGATATAATATCATATATATAGATCACCTTTGATAAATTCATTATCGGATATATGAATCCAATAACAACGGCAAGTGGTAAGCTTACAGTTATTTTAGTTAGTAATCCGTCGTAGTAATGGGTACAGTATGGAAATTGACGTAATGTTATATTGCGGAGTTTTTCACTCTTAAAAACTAAGGACATATAAGATTCTACTACGGCTTGCTGTAGAGAAATAAATCCTTCACGCACATACGTTACATGCTCAATTCCTATTCGATCTTCCAATCGATCTCCAATGTCATACAAATATTTTGTGTTCCAACTTGATCCTATAAACGATTTCTGATATTGACGTAATTCACTGGGAAACACAAGAGAATAATTAAGATGTTTAGGAAACATCTGTAAATAACTGTTTGATTTTGTTAAATTTTCTTCATTGAAACACACTCCAGCTAAATAAAAATTAATCTGCATGCTCTCCCGTAACTGTTTACATGTCTCAAAACCTATAACATCAATGGAATTTAATTTTTTGGCTGCTTTCTCCATTATCAGCACGTAGCCTGGTTGAGTGTTTGGTGCAAAGCATAGAATTATTTGTGGAATAAAGACATTATAGGGGAAACTGTAGAGAAGTCGCAGTAATTAAGAACAGTAGTATTAAATGAGTAATATCTCACACTTTTGTACTTACTTATTGAAACTTTCTTCAACTGTTATCATCTTATGTGCCAACAACTCAATAGTCAAATGATCTTTTCGCTCCGAAAAATCTTGTAGCATAAATATCCATTCGTCACTAAAATTTATAGGATCATATCGAACTTCGTACTGCTCCTCAATACTAATAAATATACGTAACATAATAAAAATTAGCATGAATAATGTTGGTAAGAAAACAACAAAGACCCTGGACCACATTTCTTGAAATTCTGTGCATAAAATTTTCCAAAACTGTAAGGAAAATTTGTTGAAATTTGTTAATTCATTTCTATTGGCAGTCCTTTCTTGAATGAAACTATTACTGGCACCACCAATACTATCAAAGCTTCCTTTCATTGTGTGATTATTTATAATTTACTTTGCAAAGTACTTCGCCTCAAACAATTTTAATGGAATAAGAATATGGAATAGGAATGACATTCTCAAAAATATTTAATTTCTTTGCAATTGTACATGGCATACTTCAATTAAATAAATATGTTTTATAATAAGTACGAGTATGTCAAATAAGAATCTTATTTGAACAGATCATGATGGCATAGGTTCACACAATAATGAAAACAAGAAGATAAATATCTCTTGAGAGTGAAGTGTTACAACTATATATCTATATCGAAAAATATTTTAAAGAAATTCATACACATATGTATACAATCCAATTCATATGACAAAATATCAAAAATCTTGGCTAAGAAGCAAGCCACGACTATTTACTATTCCCAAACCTGAAGAATTAGTTGGACTCACAGCTTTCATTGTCCTGACCAATTGTGATGGTCCTGTCTAATGGGAGTATCATAGTGGCTGTTATTAAAATCCGCAGTTATGTGGATATAATGTTTATACATTACTTACATTCGATGAGATGTTGCTTTTTCCAACCGGAAACTCTGTCACGAAGAACAACAAATGTGTGAGATAAGCCACGCTTCTTTCAAAAGAGGAAACTACATATATCTGAACGGATAACGTCAGTTGGTACTGGTAGCGAGCATTATTGGCACATTTTACTGATATGTGTGTTAGGAGCTCTGCGGTATTGTGCCTTAACAATACTGTTATCACGTTAAAAAAAAATTTGTACTTTATGTCTGGTGGAGATTGTGTAGTTGATGCTAGGATTACTGCAGTTAGCAGTATACCGGGTGTATTCACCGAAGTTCAACCAACAATCACAAGCAGAGAATAAGCACAGGCTGCTAAGAGTATGCCTACGATTAGATGACACGCAGTGAACTTATTGTCTTGTACAGAATTTGTCAATGTCTCTTTCGCTCTGGTACAAATATCTGGACGAAATACTTTATCTTATTGCAATTGCAATCACCTAGCAAATTAATATGTAGTACTAGCAACGTTCGTTGTTCCATGTAATAAAACTTCAATGAACCACTTAACATTTTTGTGCAACTCAAGGGTTTATAGCATTTTTGGTGCACGTGTATTGATCAATAATTCGTATTGAGTAGTGAGAAAGATACTGTTGCAAAATTTCTATTTCGCAAAAAAATTTAAATTCCAATTACATGTTAATATTAAAAATATTGCTAAGCATAGGAACGGCCTGATTTTAAATTGTATTCGGCTTCAGCTGACTCACTTTAACTTCCTGTAAAAGTAAGCGTGTAAAAGTAACTGCATGGATACATTATACATATTGGTATATAATTATTTGGAAATTGTTTATGCATGTTTTGTACTAAGTGAAGTCTCAGTGGACAAACACACAAGCTAAATATCCATGCCCGTTAAATTTGATTCACGCACCATTTTTTACCATCTCGCCTGACCATTTCGGCCAAGACCAAAAATGACTTCAGCCTAGAGGTTAAACGAAGAATTACGCTTGCTAACAAATGTTACTTCGGTCTAAGTAAGCAATTAAGAAATAACGCCCTCTCTCGACAAACAAAAATCACGCTCAACAAATCTCGTATCATTCCTGTCCTACAGTAGATGCAGAGGCTTAGACAATTACCAACAGTGATGAGAAGGAGTTAGGAGCATTCTTGTTGGCGACGAGTATCGAATTAGATGGAACGATGAGCTATATGAGCTCATAAAAATTCAGCGGCTACGCTGGCTTAGCGAATGGAAGAAAGTGCTCCGACTAGAAAGGTATTTGATTCAGTAACCGCAGGTGGAAAACCTGCGCACCCGCAGGTAGAGGACGTCCACATCTTCGGTGGAAGGACCAGGTGACCAACGATTTGGAGACGCTCGGTATTACCAACTGGCGTCAAAAAGCAACTAATTCGGGATGACTGGCGGAGGCGACTCGACGCGGCCAAGGCAACCCACGTCTGTAATGGCCAACTAAATAAGTAAGTAGGACTATTTCAGAGTATTTGGAAACGAAGTTACAGATGAACTTTCTAAAACAGACTTTAATATTTGTCTAAATCTGTTTATTCAATTCAACCTGAATTAAAAGATAAATGATGAAACCAAATAGATTCGGACTGAAATCAGTGGAAAAGCCTGTAAGTTTTCTTGTAATTTAATATCGCAGGGACTGTAGACAGCTAATTAATGTGATCAACAGTTATATCACTTGCGTCAAACACCCCTTTACTTTTAGCGTTGCTGACAGTACCTTATATCTATTTCGGAAGACTATAATATCATGAGACATTTCCTATGCAATTGTCCCGGCCTCTTAAGACTTAGACTTAAAGTACTCGAGTCCAACATTGTAAATAATCAAATATAAGTTTCTAAACACTTCCAAGTATTCTCCACTCTCTTTCATAGTACATTGGACAATAGAGTGCTGCGTTTTTTTTTTCTACAAATCATATCCGCATTGTGGTTTTAGTGGGTGTAAGTTTCATACGATGGCTTGATTCAAAAAGTAAAGTTAAGTTGAATTGGCTTTTCAAAAACGTACTTTTTTCAAAAACTTAACATTTTTCAGTGTTGCCTACGGGTTTTGTTTATTTCGTTTTAATTTAAAATCACGTTTTGATAAGAATTTTTGGTGTGTAACAGACAAACCGCATAAATGGCATATCATTTCAACAAAAAATATTGCGTTATCAATTTTTTTTTAGCAGCATCCTCGAGCATATTTCAGTAGTGAATTGGAAAAAAAGAAAGATTATTTTAACCCTTTTGTATTGACATTGCAATAGCCAACATGTTTACCACCGCAAATGTAAACGAAACATTCGTATGTATCCTGTTTTAATCCTTTTTTATTGTTGTTTGAAGCGATTTGTGGTCTTTTGTGCAATTGACATGCTGATAATTACCAATTTCTGGCGTGCACGTAACTGTAAGCAAAAAGTTATTGAAAAATTATTAACAAAATGAAATTGAAATGGTTGCATTTAAATAGTAGTAAATTTTATAACCGTGAATACAGAACAAATGCAAATGCAAATACAGAAGTGTACTAACACTGTCTGGTGAAATTGACTTGAACTGATCGCGTTTAAGTGGGTAAAAATGTTTATTGAATCCTATATAAGCAACTCATAGATCATTATCTGCTTGTAACGACCTATAATTTCATATATTATATCATTTCAATTATTATATATAAATTAAATTTATCATATTCATCATGACAGATATATAAAATGATAACAATTATACACGAGTATGCAAACATAAAGAACGTTTCTTATGTCGTAAGTACTCTTTGACTTAAAGGGATGGAAGGTGTTAAACAATAATCACGGAAGTATCTTTAGTAGAAAAAGGTATCTTATTTCAGTAGTGAATTGAAAGAAAGAGTTAGATTAAGTAAGTGAGCAAGATACAAGGCAAATTTCATGTAAAATTATAATAAAAAATTACTTTAATTTGACTATTGATCCGCTTATATAGAAAAATTGTGAAGGAAAAATAATTGTGAGAGTGAATTAATATATGTATTATTTGAAATTTGAGTTTTACTAGCAAAATTTGTTAATTAACTGTTGTTTAATTAAATAATGATGATTTTGCAACACCACATGAGGAGATTGACGATCACAAGGCTGACTATGGTAAAGTTATTAGTAAATATTTGCAAAGGTGTACATCCATATATTAGTAGTACAGTTTTCATACTTAAGAAAAAATGTCAAAAATGACAGTTCAGTAAGTTTCTCTGGTGTGTTACTGTTCGAGTTTAGTGCCGTTAACTTATTAAATTTCTAAACTTAAAAGTGTTTTTTATATTAATAAAAATTACTTATTATATATTTAATTGTTTGCATTTTATGTAATGTGTACTATTATTAAATTTAATATTAATTCATATAATAAATCCGTTAATTATCACATGAGCCTTCAAGTTGGCGTTGGTTTATTTTAATTATGGCAAATGTGTGTGCATTGCGTGGTCAGATTAAAATGTTTTAAATGACGGCTACATTCTATTGTAAGTATAAAAACTTAAGATACCAAAATAAATATTATTTATATATAAGAATTAACAATCAAAATTAATTTTCCCTGAAAATGAACAGCTACCTTTAAACTAGTTTAGTCATTTAAAACATTCGTATTATCAAATAGCAACAAATCAAATAATACCTTTAATAGCTGTTATTTATAAGAAAGTAATGAAATTTACTGTCTTATGAAACATTTTAAATTTTGAGTTTTAATAAAAATTTTATCCTAAACAATATACATATTTATTTAATTGTATTGAAAATTCTTCCGGTTCTGCTCTGACTTAGTCATTTGAACCGGCGCAAACAGCTGTAAACGTTGCTATGCAACATTGTACACAACAAAACAAAATAGTTTAATAAGTGTTGCTATTACGTTGAAATTTCTAGCAACATCTTGTAATGTAAATGTTGCTAGAACATATTTGAAATGAAGCAACATGTTTCTGAATGGCTTGAAAGTATGTATTTCGTTTCTTTTGTAAACATTCCTTTACACATACATACTTCATTGTGTATATCAATTTAATTTATATTAATTAGTGCTACTAAATTTAATTTAATGTCCTTAAAAGCTATGTTTATATTATTTTTAAGATCTTTGACATCCACGAGCTGGCATCTGCTGCATCTGAATGAACTATATATTACACAAGCTTTATCATGATAACCTACAGCAAATAAATAGTGTTTGAAGCGACAGTCGGAGAAAGCAGACGTAAGGTGGTATTCCCTATCTGTCGTGAACCGATAAAGTTTAGGGAATACTAACCACAGCTAACTAACGTGACTGGAGAAGTAGCGCTCATAGAATGCTGTGTCAGTCCAATAACGTGTTGTTATGGTTAAAAAAGTAAGTAAAAAATTTAAATTAAACTATACATCGTCTTAAGAATTTTCATCGATTAAATATATTTAAAAATGCGAGAAGAATGTATAAGTTTACGTGATTGTAAAACTTTTGTTTGCAATTCTCAATAATTCTGGGTGAAGGGCGCTTCGGTTTTGCTGTTAACTGAAGTTGATTGTTTTCTTTGTTTTAATTTAGTTTCAGAAATAATTTATTCTGTGTATTTAATTCAACCGTATTATTAATATTAATTTTCTACTTAATGAGTTCAACGTTTTAAAAATTTTCTCAAGTAAATATGTTTTTTTTTTTGTACTATTTTACGCCCTCATAAAGTTTAACGATTTTGACTTGCTTTCAAGCCCCACCACACAGTCAACAGCAATCTTCCACAATCATCAATGTTATTATGAGTCCTGGAGTAACTTAAATATTTGAATTTCCGCGATTTTTGGGGTGTTTCCACTCGTGTTGGAATATTTTTCGATTTTGTGTGATTTTTTTTTTCAGGAAAGCTTTTTGAGTGCCTTTCGAAGCAAAGCTGAAAAACTTTCTGGATTAGTTCGACTGCAAATTTTTAGTAAAAACATTTTTCTTTGCCATTGTCGTCTCTTTGACAAACACTTTTATGGTCCTGATAATCTTAAGCGTTTGATAAGGTTCGTAAGGTGCACCGTGTGTACGTACTTTTCAATTTCCATTTTCACTTTAAAGTTATAACTCAATTTGCTGGCGTTCTTATAATGTACACTTTACTTATGTTTCCTTTTATTTCGAACTTTTATTAAACTTTCTATCAACAGACAAGTTTTTTCCTAAAATATTGGCTAACGTCTTTGCGTGGGGTTTCGATTTAAAGTTCCTTTAAATGACTTCTCTTAACAAAAAATGCCATAAATACGCAGCCAGCCACCCTTATCAGTCACTCACCCCCAGCTTCCACTTGTTATACTTGATTTCTTTGATGTATTAATGAGGTGTTTGCAAAGTTTTTGATGTTATTTTTTTAAGCAATTTTGGATTTGTCATTTTTTCAATTTACATTTTAAACGAAATTTAATCCATTTTACGCTTTACGCATTTGCATGGCAAATGTAAGTTTAGCTCATTATATTAAGCTATAATACGTTTTCTTCAAAGTCAACACCTAAATTTTATTTGCAGCTGAAGGTATTTATAAACTAATAAATCTGATTTATGAATTTTAATTTATAAGTTTAAAAATGAATTTAAATCAAAAATTATTTTTTAATATTAGACATTCCAATATACCAAAGATACCACCCATTCCTTCCCATTCCTTACTAGAATAATTATTTCATAATTAATAATATTTTCACAGTATCACTTAGATATTGCTAAATGAGCAATGTCGCTCTTATGGGGAGAAAGAGAGAAAGAACTCTTATGAGAACTCATTATGCCCACAATAGAAACTAATTGTATAATCAATCTAATCAATGAGATACTTTCACATGTTGAAGGAGACGATATTTTCATATTGCTTAAGGACTATTATTGAAAACCGTTGCGCTGAAATTCTTATAGCTCAACTTTTCTTCTGCTTCTATAATCAGTCGAAGATATTGAACAACTCTCTCAAACTGCATTCTCCACAGAAAGATGTCTGGTGTACTCCCTGTATGCTAGTTGACATCCATATTCTCGTAGGCCATAGATTACTTCCAAATCTGTCAAAAATGGTAAACCCAACTACCGACTTTACTGACTCCACCAAGTCACCGACTCTCAATCAAGTTTACGATTTCTTGTTTCTATTTTGACTTTTTGTTATAATATATATATAATCAGGTGATATGTATCCTACAAAAGTATTAGGGAAATGATAATATTTTCATGTTTTTAATATTTATATTTAATATTTTCATATTTCTAAATATACACATAAGTCTTACACATCATAGACCAATCTTATTTTTCTACATGACTATTTCATGTTAGCTTCGACTTTATTCTGACATGACTTCCTTAGAAGGGATATTAAAAGTCATAAATTGTACAAATCGTATAAGACCGCTAATTTATATATTCCAGAAGTTTTTTACACAACGAATGAACATTGATTTGTGCACAGTTTGGTAACAATAAAAAACTGGGAATATGGAATATACGCCGAGTAACATTTTTCCATCAAAGAACCAAATAGAAAAAATCTATCAAACATGAAGAACTGCGAAAAAATGAAAAAGTCGTACCGCTCAATATGCATTCAGATTGGCGTTTAGTTGTTTGCTAGTTTGACTTGTGGCTTATGACCATCACGACAAGGGAAACCCAAAACGTGTAGAACGCAAGGAAAATGAAATTTTGCAATGATTCTGCCACAAGGACCCCTTGGGAACATGCGGTGTAATTGATTAATGGGCATGCCGCGTTTTTGTGTTTTATGTTGCTTGCGACAGTGGTTGATGTGTATTACATCTCCAGCAAATGTAATTTGTATTTTGAAATATTTTTTATCATAATAATACACATTTTTTGTAATGGAAGATGCATAGAATTATTTGAAAAATGTAATAATATTTTTATAAAATTAGAATTTCTTAAAAAATTAACTAAAAGATCTGGTCTAAACCATTATTCCAACTACTACTACATCGCATAAATGCCAGAGAACTTCAATTATGTTCCATTGTTATTATGGATACAGTTTGTAGTTCTCGTCCTCGTTTCAAATCACTGTCAAAGCATTCGCAATATGTCTAAAATGCCCTTTGCGATGGTTTGATGGCCTATTGCATTGAGTACAGTTTTTTGCAAGTGTTCGCAAAAGTGAGTTTTTTCCGTTGCCCGTTGCCCTTTGTCCTTAGGGATGAACGCGTTACTTTTAGTAAACGCAGTTTACAGGTTTGTTTTTATTTTCAATCGGATTTAATGCTTTGGCTTATCGTACTCCTATTAGGTTTTTGCATTATTGATGGTAAATCAATTTTGTAGCAAATGATTTGTATTTGATGTTACATGAGCGCGGGGGTGGTGGAAGGACTACGTTAAAGTCTTCCATTTGTTATATTCTCGTGTGGTTGCACAAGAGCATAATAACTTCTACAACTTAATTATGTTATTCTTTTTATTTTAAAGGGTCATTGTACTTAAAAGTGTGTTGGTTTTTTATGTTTCAGAAAGTTAAATTAATAATAGTTCCTTGTCTTTTAAATAAAAAAACAAGTATGAAAAGGTATTCTTATAAAAATCTGTTGAAAATGTCATGTCGACCCAATAACTTGAAACGATAATATATATATAGAAACAATATATGTTCTGTAATATTTTCGAGCTCGTGTTTACATCGCATCACGAGGGAAGGAGGGTAGACTCCAACCGACTGACATGACTGACAGGGTACAGTCTATAAAGATAAACAGTTAATGACACCCTCCTTTTTTTTTTGCTTGATGTCAGCTATGGTAACTAGTTGCTGTCAAGAACTTCATCCAAAACTGGTAAGCATACCAGGCCTACCATCGTGTGATGCTACACATCACATCTAGGACCAGATCAACACCTTGAGGCTGAGACAACATACTGAAATGCAGAGAAATAAATGCCGTAAACTCAGAAAATACATACAGAGTATCTTAAATGTACTTGTTATGAAGAAAGGATTAACAACTTAAGTGTACTTGTTATAAACAAAGCAATAAGAGAGCAATTGGTCCCTTCTTCTTTCAATTGCATTTACTACTGGCAATAGAGTTTCGAACTAATCGATATCTAGACGGTATCGCTAATAATAAATAATTCAGATTAGTTTAATCTAAATTGCTGAAAGCTTTTTAAAGACCGGTAGAGTCTATATTTTTTTAAGTCACTGATAGCACTTGCTTATAAAAAAAGATTAGGATAGTTTAGATTGGATTGTTTATATGTTTATAATCAACCTAATCGTTTATATTAAGCAAATTTTTTTATTTATAAAAGTATTTTGAAATAATGCATTAAATTAATTTGCCATAATATTTAACTATGTAAATATTTTAACAGTCGTTATATTTTTTGAAATGATAAGATAAGTTAGCAAATTCTTTCAGATAAAATTTATTTATAAAGATTTATTAAGTGGAACTATTTAAACTAGTTTAATGTTTTAAAATATTTAATTGTAATTTAAGCTTTTTATATAAAAAAGCCAAGCTTAATGCTAAGACATTTATACACTCAAAATGGTAAATATTATATGAGTTTTAACCAAATTTGTATAAACATTTAGTTCGACCCGCCGCCATTCTACTGCCAGAAAGTACTTTCAGATTCACTGTAATTTATTGATATACTTTGCCTAAAATACGACACCCTTGGGAGCATATTGTGAACCATTTTTACAGGTGATGCTCGAGTAAATTTACTTGAAGTTTTATAAAAAATAAAAAAAGCAAACTTCATTTGTAAAACACATGCTTTAAAAGCGAAAAAGCAAATACTTTGGTAACCATCTGTTATCTGAAAAAGTATTGGTAGATATTTACTAAAAGCGCTAATATATATAAAATATAAAAGTTTTTTCTATAAATATCAGATGAACTTACGAATCAAGCCTTTGAGCAACTGTTGCGCCTACCAAAAAGCATAAATCACCAAAAAGTTTCACTTTATCGATGTAAATTTGTTTTCATTCTTAGAGTTCTTTTCTTCAGACTCCAATATTCCTTTGGAGTTTAATGCGGAACAACTTTAAAATTATAAATTAACCCTTTTTTCTATAGAAAAACAATATTAAAATTGTACAAAATTTGTACGGAAAAAGAGTAAAAAGAAAACTGTTTTCATAACGAAAAATATAGAAAATCGAAACATGTCTGTACTTTGATTCTCTCCCAAGGGTGCAGTTACCCCAGCAACATTCCAACGGCAGTAAATAATTGCAGCACTTTTAAGAAATAATTCAGAAACCTAAAGGGTAACGTTGGCAATATGTTCGTATTTAAATTTTGCATGAAATGGACTTGATTGTGACAATAGAAGAAGAAGTCGACATATGTTTGTCCCGAAATTGCTAATGAACGTATAATTTAGACTTTGGGTCAGTGAAGTGAAACTAATTGAAGGTGCAAGTCTCGATAGCAGTTGGTTTTTATGTATATTTTTTCTTGAATCAAAGTTTGCAAATAAATTTAATATAAAATTAAAATATAAATATATATTCACATTTTTTTAAACATATTTACACTATATATGTATATTTGACAAGAAAAATGTGTACCAGATCTTATAATTCAAATTAAGAACATTTTTCTTTGTCTACAAAAAACAAAACAAGGGACTAATGATCAAATACTGATGATTTTTTCCGATTAATCTATATTAGATGATTTTTCAGCCATCTATTCGATTATTGATGCCTGCCATAGTCATCTTTTGAGGTTAATTTTGCGAACACGAGAGGTCTATAGACGTTGAACGGTATAGAGAGCTTATGTGTTGAATCAAAACTTCCTACCTAACATCTTTCAAATGTTCTAATGATACACAACACCATTCTTCCAGCTCAATTCAAGCCTTTTGTTTTTTCGATTTACTCTTTCAATTCTATTAACTGCATTGATCAGAGTTTTGCATCAACCGACAGACATGGAATGATATAATAAATCATATTAAATAGGTTAAGTTACATTAGGCTGAACGTTACACATATATAGACCGATCGATCGTTTCATCTTTCAATTGCATTAACTATTGAAAGTAAAATTTTGAACTAATCGATAGCTAGACGGTATCGATAATCGATAGCTCATAATAAATAGGTTAGATTAGTTTAAACTGCATGACTGAAACCTACACATAGGTCGTTGAATCCCATCTTCTATTATTAATTCATTTACTGTTGGTAATTGTTCATAATAGAGAGGTTAGGATTAGTTTAACTGGATTAGTGTGAGTTATACATATACTGGCTGTTTTCTTCTTCCTTCAATTGGATTGACTGCTAACATTCGAAATTTAATGAATGTAGTAGCACATAATAGATGGGTAAAGTTAAATTAATCTTAATGACTCTAAGCCATATATGAGTCCGTTGATGATTTAATAAAAATATAAACAAATAAAGAGTACCCTTTATATTTTTTTCTATAAGTCCTAATAGCACGATTCGTAAGTACTAGAATTAAAGCACATAGCGCCTTGGTTTAAATCTCACTAAGGTCTGATCTAAAATGATGCTTAAAGAAAGTCTTTAAGCTCTGTTTGGTGGTTTAGTCTCAGCAATAGTATTTTAGCACTTATAGATAAATATAATATCTCTTGATGGTTTCGTCTTCTATAATCTCCAACGTGATGTGGAAGTAATGCAATATTTTTCTTTTACAATCAAATAGTATGTTCTCATATCATTTTGTTACAGTGCACACTTCGGATCCATAAACTAAAATAAGACAGTGTACGGTGTAATATATTTTTTTTTTAAAACCAAATATTTATACATTAGATAATGTAGTATAAGTATATAGTATATTATATTTATACTACAATAACCTAGTGCTTTCTTGGGGGCCCCTTTTCTGAACGATCTGACTGAGTTGTCATCCTGCAATGTTAGGGACCTGGCCAGATTCATAGAATTGCCGTGTTGGTTTTCCTTTACCTAAATGGGGGAGTCGTTACCTTTTTCGGGGTTTAACGTATACAGATCACCTTGTCTATGTATGAACCAACACTATTCTTGTGGCATCACAACGGGCCATTATTTTGACTTCAAATGTGCTTTCTTTGTATACAAGACCGCCACTCCAATTTAACACCATCTAAGTATATTATCACTTTCATCTTATTACAGCCCACACTTCAGATCTCTAAACTAGAATAAGACAGATTCCATTAAGGTTTCCATCAAGGTACAGATGTATTTTTTTTGTAATATTTTTTTTTTTTTAAACCAATTGATCTTGTTACACTGCTTACTCTGGATCCATAAACTAGAATAAGACGAATTAGACATTAGTAGACCGTTAACTAGAGGTTGCATAACAGTGGTCTCGATGAAAATAGTCTTTTATTTAACAGTTTTTTATGTGCATAGATGGCTTCCTTGGAAACGATGAGTTTGTTTTGGATGCAATAATTGTTGGCATTGTTACTTTTATTTGTACCTCAAGATATTTAAATGTTTACATTCCATTGAAAGTACGGTTGCCTACTATATTATTTTCTGGTTTGCTTGCGTCTGTCATCTGATCTTGATATTTTCATGATATAAATAATAATACTATATAGGTTTCCTTCTAGCTATATATATTTATATATACTAAATGCATAATTTTTCTTTAATTTTCTTCTGTTAAATAAAAAAACATGAAGTGAAAGCATATCGAAAGGAAAATTAAATATTCAAGTACCACTTATATTCTCATTCTAATATCATACAAATTTTTGATGGTGAAGGAATACTCAAAGCGCAATCTTAAGTAATACACACTTTATCATATTTTTATTGTTATTGTTCATTTACAGCATTTTATTTCCATTCCATTGGAGTAGAGAATATGATACCCGAGTTTTACTTTTGATAATTGGTTTTTAGGGTTGATGCAACCTTTTGCCTCAGTTGTACAGTTTGGAGCAGTTAAAGAAATTAAATAAATAATACAAAAGCGGATTTTCCTTTGTTCCATTTGAACAGTGCTGCTTATTTTAAAACAATATATTTATTTTATTATTTCGTTAAATTTTTTCTTCCATCCTTTCCATTCTGGCTTTCACTCGAACTCGAAATGGTACTAAAAGGTCCCAAGGAAGAAATAAGCTTTGAGTGAGTCGACAATCCTTGTTATGTAGATGCCGTTGTTATGCAAAATAAATATCAAATTTCTTAGCTGTACCGAATTCTGAAAGAAGCAAAATTAAGATTTCTAAATATAAAAAGAATAAAAGGAAAGTACAAATATATACATATATAATGAAATTGCAGTCAGGAGTGAATCAGATTACAAATCCTACGTATTGTTTGGGGTATTAACAAAAATCTCTTATGAAAACTGAAGTCAGTTAAAAATAATAGCAAATTAAGCTGATCTTAAATGTTTGCTAATTAGCAGTAGCAAGGATTTATATATTTATAAAATTTTTATTAAAACAAAAATATTTTCAGTATAAAATATTTGAAATTTTTGCTTAGCCCACATATTTTCATATAGCCCACTTTCAGTGGTATATACTCCGATTTTGCGTAGCCACTTTAAAGAAGTAGTAAATTGTTTTGAAAGGAATTTTTAAAAAATTTATCACGTTTACAGCTCAATTGCCAATTAGAAAATTCCACTTTCACTTTTCAAATAAAACGAAATAAAAATCTTAACAAAAATTGCTGTATTATGTCAGTGGAAAACCTGAAGCGGAAACCGTCGAGTGGCAGCGGATGTTGATTTGTATACAAAAGTCAACGTCATAACTATACATATTTATGTAATTTATATGTATATGTGTTTATTTATAAATACTCGTATATATAGCTTAACAACAACTTAAGAAAATAAAAAGTGAAAGGCTCCTAAGCGATAGGTGGGACGGGACATTCCAACAGGAAAACCCATAAAATATTTAAGCAAAAGGTAAAAAATCCTATAAAAATTTCGCTCACGTTTTTATCCAAAATTATTTAAAAAAATAATAATAATAATAAGCAGACGAAAATAATAATAAACAAAATATACGAAAAAGGAATTTTATGAGTATTTTTAAATTATTTGGAGGCCATTTAAAAAATAAAAACATCAAAACAAAAAAAAAATATGTATAAAATTCTTTTTAAAATAAAACATATGTCCTTTATGCGTCTTCTGAGCCTCGTATACCATAAAAGGTGTGAAAAAGGATTTCGGTTTTAAATTTTTTATTATTATTTTTCGGCAATAAAATCACGTACACCTCACCCCATTTTAGTTAAGAGACTTTCTCAGGCTATTAAGAGTCAAACTTTTTATTGACAGTTTTTGTTTTTCTTTATTTTGGTAAGTTTGACCAAAACTGAAGTTAACATTTTACTAACCTGCATGTTACTTAGGATTTTTCCAAATGCTGGACTTCCAATGCTCTCAACAAGTTTAGAAAATTGGTCATTCGATTCAAGTTTATCAAAGAAGGTTGACAGTATTTGATCCTGTGGCAACACGTCCAAAATACTATCGACTAAGCCATGCAAACCATTCAGTTGTTCTTTTTCTTCTGAATTTACTGGTGTTGACTGTGCGGTTATAGTTTGAGTAACCATTCCATCTACTTCTAAAAATTAATTTAAAAAAAAAAATTAAATTAAATTAAGCAAAAAAATTTAGATTTATGTTTATGTTTGTCTAAGCATAAACCTCGGTGACGGTTTGCTCAACTATTATAACAACTATTATAACAACTGATAATTAAAAGATATAAGGGAGTTCTCATAATTAGTTGTAGTAATACTCTACTCTGAGGAAGTAGTCAAATAAACTACGGAAAGTCGGCGATATTAATATAGAAAATACCACTGATGATATTTATTTGGCAATAAATTCAATTAATTAAAAATAATAAAAATTTTTGTTGTTGTGATGTAGTACTATTCGATAAAATTTCTCTATTAAAAACAATAGTTTCTATTAAGAATTTAATCTCTTTCGTCATGTCATGTAATAGATAATATTTGATTTGAGTAATAGATAATAGATTCAAAATAGAAACACTCTTGGAAAGCACATTATAATCTTGAGCTACTATATCGACTTTAGCTCTTCTATTGCTGGAGCACATTGTCCTTTCCGTGTCTTTTCGCATTTGGTTAACAAAATAAAAGTCGTGAAGTGTCGGTCATCCATGAATAAGAAAATGTTTGTGAGGTAATAGTGATGTTGTGGTTCATCAGAAAAGGTTGTATAAGCAATGTCTTAGAAATCGTTTCGCATGAATCGTTGGATATTCTTATTTTTTCAGAAAAATTTTTTGTCTAACACAATCTGTTTGCTATTCACGTATTCATAACTCGTAGACATGTCTTCAATTTTACTCGACCTTCCTGAAAGCATTTGTAGTATTAATATATTCGTGGTTGTGATGTAGTAATATCGTCATAAGCTTTTTTAACATTTTTAAGGTTTCAAGTTCTTCATATAAAATTTTAGATAAATTTTTACAATCGATATTTTGTCACAAAAAAATACTCCAAATACACTAATATACATTTTGTTAATTTACTCTCGAGACATAGATTAAGTAGCGCATATGCTTTGGTTTTGAGGTGCGACTATGTAGTGGATTCTACGTTGAGTGCATATGAATCCGTTGCGTTACCCTAATGCCCTTTTCAAACTGTTGTCCCGGAGAAATTTTTTTTTTTGATACGTGTATTTCTTTTTGAAGAGCTGTCATATAACTAAATTTGTTTTCTTTACGAAAACTGATAGTTTTGGAGGGTCTTCAAAAAAAATTTTTCCAAAAGTTATTTTTTCAAGAGAGTTTTTTTATGATACGTGTATTCCTTATTGAAGAGCAACCGTATTATTAAGTTTTTTTTTTCTTTAAGAATGTTGTGAGGTTTGCGGTATTAGTTGCTGTTAGTTCTGGTGGGTTTTAAAAAAAAGGTTTTCCAAGAATTATAGTCCAGCACTTTCCCATTGCTGCCTTCGAGTTAATACATATTTTATTGGCAATGCAACCAATACACAAAAACGCACTTGAATCGTTTTATAAAATGCATTGTGCTCAACATCAAAATTTTTGCTACTTTTTGAATATATATTGGAAGTGATTGGAACTTAAAAACATCTTAATGTCTATTTTTAAACAATAATTTAAATACTACGTATGTGTTCGATAAACAACTACGTTGGATAGATGAATCATCTTTAGTATGAAGTAATCGGAGAGTTATTTACATTATTAATTTATGTTTTATTTCGATGTTTAGACCATGGTCGATAGTCATTTTAAAGGAAGTTTGATAGATTTTTGTAAGTACAGATTAGAGTTAAATATTTTGGTATGTTTTTTAAAAAATATTTAAACACTTTTAAAAACATTACTACTACATATTATTATCCATTTACTTTTTTATTGACCGTAACTTTGAGTTTCAAGGCATAAGCAGACTTACAGAGAAGATAAAACTGTTATAAAGCACCTATGTTATACAGAAATCATGTAAAATGTATATATAGATATATTAGTTATATTAGATAACTCAATTAGAAATATTTTTATATTATTGAAATTATTTTAAAAACTATTCTGTGTTTTACCACTGCGCACACAAATTAATAATTTAATAAATTACTTCTTCCATTTACCAACTGGAGTTTCGCACTAATAATGATTTGAAATGCATTTTAACCAAATGTAGTCAAATATAATCGCCATTATGTTAACCAACTTACCATTTCCTGCCGCCATTTTGTATTCGTTTTGTATGTTGGCCACATTTACATTTATACCATCATCCATGGTATTACAGGTTAGGTTCGTTAATGCATATAAAAAGCCCACTACATCTAAACCACTATTATTTAAGTATGTTAAAAATGCCGCCGTTTCCGGTATATCGGTAATATGCTGCTTAAGCGCTGCAAAATCACGACTATTCAAAAATGCATAGGCACGTTGCACTTCCGGATCGTTACGATAGTAATTGGCAGCAATTGCTTTAACCTCCGCAACGGGTATTAATGCCACAAAGTCACTCATGTTAATGGGTGTTGTATGTGTATAGGCGTGGTCTCTGCGTAATTCAATTTCACGCGGTGGACCATCCTCGTGTTCCACTGAATCTGATGCTGAAGATGAAACCGATGTTAATGATTCCTCTTCGTCGGATGTTAACAAATCAATTTGATGATAAACCTCAGTTGAATGCTGTTGCTGTTGTTGCTGTTGTTGCTGCTGCTCCTGCTCCTGCTGTTGCGTACGTTGATGTGGCTGTTTTGTTAGGAAAATCAAATCATCAGCTGTATCCATCACGGATTCATTATCGTCATTACTCTCGTCAAGCGTAATAAGCGTTGCTGATGAATTTTTTATACCATCAGTATAATGTACTATCTCTTCCACCATAATTATCTCATCACTGTTGTGTGGGAAACTAAAAACAATTTCACTCAGGAGCAAGGAAAATGCGTACAAGATATGAGACCGAAAAATCATTTTTGATTTAATTATTTAAATTTTATATAATAAAGTTAAAATTTATTAATTTTATATTAATTTATATTTCACTTTGCAAAATAATTTTAGTCAATTTTCACTTATTAATGTTTTCATTTTCATTTTATTATCTCGTGTGAATATATTGTTAAAAAATTGAAAAAAAAACTTATTTTAAACCGTCATGTTCAATTGTCAACGAGTGACTGTTCCTGTTTTCAAAATATCATTGTGACAATTGAGTTTTATTGTATGTTCTTTAATTTAATAATAATCCAATAAAATAGTTTCATATGCACAGTACAAACGGCATTGTTCCCATAGAACTAAACAATTCTATTTAAAATTATATTATATAACATTATTTTTATATCTTTCATTATTTTGGGTGTATGTGCACTTACTCTCAAATCTTGTATTTAGTATTTAGCTCTCAATTGATATATTAAAATAGCATACAAAAAATTGTTTATTACAATAATTTTATTAAAATTACCTGGGCAGACGTATATTTACTATTTAAAAGTATTATTGTTTAAATTTCTTAATTTGACAACAAAGTTGTGGATAATGAAAGCCACAGATACTGGATAGCAAGATTAGTGCCCAAACTTATCGATGGTATCAACACCGATCAATTATTATATTACATTGCTTATATCCAAAGATGGGTACTTAAAAGATATTTAAATAGAAAGGGAAAAATCTGAAGCCTAGCTTGCATATATGAGAATGCAGGTGAAAACTAGACAGAGCACACCTTTTTCGATTGTAGTAAGAGAACAGAAAAAGAATTGAACTTAGAAGATGATCGGGCCACTTGTAGTTTAAAACTTTACTCCAAAAACGAGGAAATTTGATTCCAATGAACTGGATTATCTTTGCCAAATTCATAGTAGACGTACTGCATATTAAAAATATGAGTTTTGATATTTATTCCCTAACTTTATAGAGAAAAGATAATGACAAAAACAGTAGAAACTGGAATCTCTACGGTACAAAAAATGCATCACAGAAATACTGTTTATGAAACATCAAAAAATTATGAATGGAATGTGGAACTGAATATAGGTTTTATAGAAGGAATACGGCATGCATAGCTTAAAAATGACCCCTCCCCGAAATAATCATCTCGACAAAGAAAAGGAAATAGTACAAATGGTACTTGTTTGAAAAAGACCCCTCACTAAAATAATTTTCCTCTGAGGTACAACTCCCGACGAAGAAAAGGACACAATACGAATGGCTTTACGCAACCGTTTGTCGGTCTCTATTTTTTGTAAACGATATCATATTCTACTATAACTTTTTCGTCCCATATCATATTCTTTAATAGTGGGTCGATTTAGTTTCGTTTCAGCTGTGATTCATGGAGAGAGATTTGTCTATTAAACTTTTTTCTCAGAATTCATAAAGCACAAAAGTTATGAATTTTATCTTATCATAAATTTTTTTTGTAAAACAGTTTTATAATATTTACTTACTTAGTCAAATGCTAGGCTTCTAGAACTTAATTTTGTTCACTTTTTTTAGAATATGTCGAACAGAACGACAAACTTTTCAAATCCGTACTTCCAGAACGAAAACACGGGAACAATTTTCTAATAGTTGATTGTGATATAGTGTCCTTCAAATAAATAATACCAATCCATTCAGATTCTTGTGTCATATTCCTTCGTTTGTTGTAGTACAATTTACAAAATATATAGGACTATTTTCATAACTTTCACTTTTATTTTCCAATACAAGTTCACAAACTACATACATATATAATACATTAACCATGTTATTCTACTATATTAATTGTGAAGTCCCTTTGTTTCTGTCGCTTATCTGTTTTCTTGCTCCAACGCGCACACCAATTTAAGTCCAATCGACCTTTGGACTCGTCCCCTTGAGGTAGCTAGGTTTCTTCGACTGAATCCTGGTTAGTTTCAAATTATTTCCACCCCTCTCCTTTCCTTCATCCCAACACTCACTCCCACCTTTTCCATTCCTTATCCCATATATTCGTCTTGTAATCCTTTCATGTTATCTGCTTTCAGGTCCCGGCGGGTTACAACAACAACAACTATATTAATTATCAAAAAAAAAAAAAAGAATTGTTAACTATTATTGATTGTTTTAACCTATAATTACAGCTTTAAATCAAGTGAATAAATAAACGCCGAATACTTTTTGTCCAATCCAATATTGAGTAAATTTAATCATTTTGTTTAACATATACCTCTTCAAATTAATTAATTTTACCATACATAAATGGTGTATATGGGTCTGAGTCAAAGTTTTTTATTTATGGAAAATGTAGATTATTGAAGAAACTCTTCCACTTCAAAGCCAACATTGTTTTTGGTGTGAACAAACGTATTTAGAGAATTTAGGAGGCGTCAGAAAATTCATTACCTAGCGAGTAGAGAAAGTTAGAAAAGTTTGCTGGCAGCACTTAAAAATTAATTTCCCCGTTTTTGCAAAATATTTTGCATAGTTTTGACGTTTCTAATGCCACCATTCATAACAAAATGCATAATTCAAATGAAATTTTTGACTCTTTTTTTTTTCCATAAGCGAAATTATAAAAATTTATTGTAGTTAGAGTTGTAGGACTTGGCAAATACTAAGAATGTTAAGTATCTACAGGGGCTCAAAACTTTCGCAGTAAAGCATATGAGTGCAATGAATTAGTAATGTGCAGTACTAAGTGGAAAGTTAGGTACTGCGAAACTCCGGTAATTAACTGTGAACCACAACAAATCCCGGTCGCGCTGAAACTTGCACCTGCGACTCAAATATATCAGAATAGAAAATTGCGCATATTTTCAATAAAAAAAAAAAATTATTTAATTTGTTCGGACTTAAAGGCTTAAAACACAGCCTTTCCCTGCATAAGTTTCCGCAGTCGGTGTAGCAGGGGAGAATACGGAATAAATTTTTAAACTTAATCCAAAATTTTTTTTTTTCATAAGTTGTTTGTACAAGTGTGTCATTTATTTCCACCTTAACACTTTGCGACAAGACTTTGCGTCTGTAGCAAAACAGTCGCAACGAAAACAATAACAACAACAACAGCAATGTTCCGTGCAGAAATAATGGAGACAACTTCAGTAATTTTGTGCAAAGTTCAGCATTAACATTACCGCAAATTAGCAAAAGTTTTCCCCATCCCATACCTTTCGGAATCCCTTTTGTTTTGCTTACTTCGTAGTCATAAATTATGTTGTCTTAACTCTTAAATGTTACCAAAAAGTATTTTTGGCAAAAGATTTTATTTCGAATAGGTTCGACTTTACCAGTTTGTAGACCAAGTCACTTTTAAAAATTGAAATTTTTTATTTAAGGCATATGCTACCCTCTGCGGCGAATAAGCTAAGTTCAGTTTATGTTGTTCTTTATAATAAAATGGAAGTATCTTAATAGTTGTTATAACAGAAGTAGTAGTAAGAGCTGTTAAGACAGTTATAGTAGAAGTTGTAGTAATAACAATAACAGTAATAATAGATAGCAGTCACAATACTAATTATAGTGATAATAGTAATAATAGTAATAATAGTATTATAGTAATAATAGCAATAATAGTAATAAAAGTAATCATAGTAATGTTAGTAATAATTATAATAATAGTAATTAAAAGAATAATTTTTTTTTTTGGCTATGAGGTGTGTGAAATACCTGTCATGGGCCGACAATACCCTCTTTATAGTACCAGTGTACTGGAGCCTTACCGACTAAAACACCATACCTCTTACTCAGGCACACTTTTCTGGGAACACTTTTGTATTACTTTGAAAAGGTTCCTGTTTTTCTTGACTTCTTGCCATCTTCTTTGTTTGCTATTAACCTGCGTTCAGACTTCCGCATCATATAATCTTACTTACGCTTTTTTACGTTGAGAAATATATTTTTGATTTTTACCAAGTGCTCAGCGAATCTCCCTACAGCGTTCCAGGCCTCTTCGTTTTGTAGCATTTTATATACAATATTTTTTACAGTGCATTCTCCGACATTACCTTTGAGCGTATACTGTCATTGCAAGCAGTGGAGTACATGTGGTTGGCGTCGTCTTCGCCAGCATCGTTAAATATATACAACCAGGATCTGTTGTCTTCCCAATTCTATGAAGGTATTTACGAAAATAACCACATCCTGACAGCATTTGGGTTAAGTTATAGTTAATTTCGTCAAATTTTCTAGTCGTTCTCGCATTTATGTCAGAAACCAAATTTGCTGTCCAGCTGCAGTGTATATCTGCTCACCATTGTTCTTACCGAAACTGTAGTGTTAGTCTTCTAGCTTCTAGTTGATGTCTTCGTTGTTTTTTATCACTACCCAACAACTTTTCTTTTCTTGAGCTAGGCAGTTGATTGATATGTTCCCACTAATCACTAATACCGCAACAACAGTTCTGTGCGGTAGGCTGCAGTTACTTTAAGTACTGCTAGTCGCTGAGCTGCTGACTATTTTTTCCTGTGACATTTTGCGTTTAGCGCATCAGCCCAAATGTGGTATAAAGAAATCAAGTCTACAACTGACATCAAAAGGTTTCGCTTGTTTTGCATGGACCCATCCACGTTTGCCATCAATCGACTTAACGATGCTGTCACCTTGTCAGCTTTTTCTACCGCCAGTTAACATATGTTTGTGCTAAGTAGGTTAGCTTTGAATCTAATCTGTCACCTAGGTACTTAGCTGCTTTTTGTGTGCTTAGGGTGTTTTTCTAAACTATCATCTCAACTTCAGTTTGGATATGTCCGCTTGTCAGGAGCAGGAGCTTAGTTTTTACTACTACGAGTTTCAATACGTGCGCATCCAGTCAAGCTTTTGTTCTCATCATCATCATATTCAGCTTTCGCTGTGCTTGCTCTGTTTTAGATGTCGTTATCGCTGCTGTGATATCTAAATTTTATCCTATCTAAATTTTTTATTCCATGTCTTATTTTTAGCAATACTTTCACTCTGAACCTATTTAATCCAGACATTTTAAGATCATTCAGCTGTATTCCATTCTATGCGTGTTTTTGCTACATAATGTGTGGATCTTATTGATGCAATCCCGATCAAGTTATCAGTTTTCAGTTTACAGATTTTAGTTTCGACTAAATAGACATTTGTTGAGCTTAGCAGTGGCATATCTGTTTCTGTCATTTGTTGTAAATGCCGTTGATTATAATAAGTGCAATGAAGTAGTTGTCTGCGAGTTATTTGGTGGC